CTGAAGAACCAACTGCTTAAGTATGCGCAGGGGGAGGGTCTTATAGATCTAGAAGCCCTGGTTACCTCGGAGCAGCTCGCCGTGTTCGGGTTTGTTGATGTGACAAACCTGTTCAGCGAAGGTAAATTTTCATCATATAACATAAATTCTAGCCGAGCTGAGGCTTATGCATTTGTTTGTGCAGGTGAAATGAGCAGCATTTTGGAGCGTTAGCGTCAACGTGCACAGAGCTCCCGAGGCCGTGGGGCGGGCAGCGTGCGACCCCGGCCAACAAGGTTTGATGAGCGGCCTCCCCCAGCGCCTCAATCACGCGGCCCGTCAAACCGGGGTTCCAGCTCGTCATCCAGGCCACGCGCAGATCACCGAGTTGAGATGGCGGCCCCGGGCGCGCGAAGGCGCACGCGCGAGGAGACAGAGAGCGAGGAGGATGAAGTCCCCCTAGCCCGGCGCATAAGAAGCGGGGGGACTCAGCCCGCTCAGGCGGCTCGTCCTACAACGGTGCGTTCGCCCGGCGCACCGTCAGCGACCGCGCAGATGTCAGTAGAGCCCGACTCGGCATCAGCTTCGTCCTCGGGCCCCAGGATTACTTATCCTGAGGGTTTCAGTTACACACGGGCGGAGTGCCAGCCCGCCATGCTGCAGACCATGCGCAGTTTTGTGCCCCCGACAGATAATCGGCGGGCAAAAGCGTTCGTGCAGCAGCATGGTGGCCAGGTCGCCATGATCAAGCTGATGGATGTAAGTATTCGCTCGCACTTCCTTAACTGTTTTGTCTTGCTTTACTGGGTACTTATTATTGTTGCTGTTTGGCAGGCATTTAACTACACTGTGGCGCTCTACGAGAGCGATCAGGCGGCTCGTACACAAAATAGCGAGCTCAGTTCCAAGTGCAAGCTACTGGCTGCTGAGAAGGCCAGCCTTGTGGACGATGTGAATCGTCTGCAGGGTTCTGAAATGGCAAACCGAGCCGCAGCTGCTGAGAGTCGGGCGGACGAGCTCGCCAATAAGATCAATGAGCTCACCGAGGAGCTAGAGCGAGCTCGAGTGGAGAGAGAAAGCGGGATCCAGGCAGCAAAGGATGAGGCCGCCAGGGTTGAAGAGAGGGCGAAGAAAGCTGAGGCTGACAGGGATCACGCTCAGCACGAGCTGGGCTCCCTTAGGTAGCAAGTCGCCGAGGCGGACAGAAACCTTGCTGCTGCCGGGGAATCGCTGAACGAGCTGAAGGCTTCCCATGCCCGCTCTGTTGTCATCGCCCGAGCTCAAGGGGCGGAATGGCTCGTTGGCTCGGCTGTGTTTCAGGACGCTGTGGCGGTGGCGTCTGC